AATGTTTAGGATTAAATTGACAAACTTAAAAGGTTTAGAATTGAATTGGTAAAAGTGCAATAAATTTAGGACTTTTTAGATAATTTTCCCTACTTATAAGATGAAGAAATGGTACACGCCGTCCAAAGCTCTGTGTGGTGTATTGACAATTGACACGACTGCGTCGGTGTGTACCTTACAACGCCACGAAATCCAGAGGTAAACGATACTTGAATGGTTGGGTCCACTGCCAAAATCGAAACCCTAGGACCATAACGTACGGACGATTTCCAGCCTCCTAGACATGGGAAACCTGACGACGAACAGCTGGTCGATGAAGCCTAACCGTGCCAACTCCCATGTGATTTTTGTCCTTCTTCACTTTTGTTTACAAGGCTCCCGGAGCTGTTGGAGCACTTGGTAGTATAGATTCCGAGGAGGTAATGACCAGAAATATGTTAACTAGGGTTTCATCATCGAGTGCCATAACTTTTGTATTAAACATTGAAAGTTTTCTCTAGTCCAAAAGGTAAGTTTGGCAAGGCCTTATGGACTTTGAGTTAACGCAAGACGCTTTAAATATTGGATATGTTCCGTTCCGTCAGAAAGTATCGACAAAACACCTTTAAAAATGTTAATGGATATGGAAATCGACGAAGAATATGAGGGGTCCTTTGTCAATTCTTGGACGGGAAACGCAGATTGACGAGAATATTAACGGGACGAAGACAGTTATAAAGAAAGCAAATCACACCATACGTGACTTTTTGAACTTAGCAACATGTATTTACAAATGGTTATTCAAAAATCCACTACTAGACGATCATGGCCACATCACTTGCCCCACATCGCCGCTTTCTTCTGCAATTTGCAATCCTTTCTCCTGGCGATCATAATAGCCCACGCTTCTTGGCCATTATCATTTGCGGCTTTCGGGATTTATGGCTCCACAAATTGGGGATCGCGCTGGCTTTACGATCGAATGGGTTGTTATGATTGCAGCCAAAATTGTTGGCTTCGTGACTCGAATGCTTATCTTGTTCTTGATCCGTAGATCTTCCCTTCGGCTTCGGTTCTCTTATTGGCTGAGCCAAATCTCATTCACCGACACTCGTTGCTTGGCACTCAGGTATTTTTTTTTCTTTTATCGCACGTCGGCAACTCCTCGTTGCCTTCGTCGATTACCTATAGTTATCAACTAAAAGTGTTGCGGAAGCCAAGCGATCGAACAATAAAATTGACAGAACAAGAAGATAAATCGGACACCAGATTTACGTGGTTCGGTCATAGTGACCTACGTCCACGGGGAGAGCAGCACGAAATTCCACTATAGATCAAGCGATACAACGGAGATTACAACCACACTCGAGTCACTCAAACACTCTAAGTGTTTCCAAGCCCCCCAATTACACCCAATAACTCACGCAATGTTTAAAGCCCACAATTCCTCACGAAATAATCTCTCAATCTCATAAAGGAATTATACACAAATCTTAACACAAGATTTAATCGCTACGAACACTTGAACTTTTGGTGTAATTCCACGAACAAAAGCTCGAACCCAATGCCAAGCACTCACAAGCAAGCGGCGCTTCAAGACTTCATGGTTATAACTCAGCCAAGAAAGACCCACTACAAGCGTCCGGTTGGAACGACGCTTCTTGTCTTTCTCTCTGACCTCTATAAAGAAATCTTGAGAAATATTTATATTAAACCCAACGCCAGAGGGAAGTGAAAATTTCCATCGTGAAGATTGCCACATCAAATAGGAAACAAAGTCCAAGTAATACACGGTCAACCAAAACCAAATTTTGGACTTTCCTATTTTATCTTTCCCTTTGGCCGATTACACTAACAGGAACATATAATTTGTGTGCCCTTCTTGTTTTATTTTATTTCCTCTTCTCACCTAGACTTTCCTTTCTTGTTTTGTTTGGAATCCTTATCCAGCGAAACTTTTACACCGAAAAGAAAACTCTGGATTTCCATGGCTTATATTTGGACGTCCGCAAATACTAATTCATCACGGGTCGGGTTTCGTTCACGTGCTTAAACTCGAGACGTATTTTCAACAAAAAGGAACCATGTCTTGTTCGGTCTTATCCGGTCCGAGCCAACGGTCAAGGACCGAGACAATTTTGGGTGCCTAACAGATTCGTTTGCTTTTATCGATCGTGGGTAGGTATTTAGATCTCCGCGTACAAGTTGATCAGTTAATTATCAGAAAGAGTTGCCCAAAGGAAGTAGAGTGTTTCATTATGCAGCCCGCCGACATGCTTTTGCCAAAGACATGTGAAGCGTTCGTGGCTGGCCCTCCACTTTGTGTGTGCACGCGAGGGAGGGACGTGACAACGAATTGTGGCCGGCCCCGCCGGCCGGTCAGCATCGAAACGTGACATAGCACGTGAGAAACCAATTCCTTCGGAAACATCCGCGTAAGCTCCCGATTCATGTGAACCCAACACATGTGAGCCGCTAGATTCAGCGGCGCCCCGTGCGGGGCCCGCATGATCGTGCGGTTCGCATGTGCTGGGCTCACATATACGAGGCGCATATTTTCAATCCTTCATGGATCACGAGTCCTATTTGGAGTGAAAAGGTGTATCTAATATACCCTTGCAAAAGCCGGGCGCGACACCGGTAACCGAAAACACAAAACCATACAAGAGACGGTCGACGATAATTGCATTACATATTCACTCACACCGCTAATATCAAAAACTATATCCGCAACGATAGGATATTGGTCATCTTCAAGTTATTTGAAATATATAGTTAAAAAAAGACAATCGTAATTATAAATGTATACTAGAGCATTAGTTTTTGTAATTAATTCTAATAAAAAGGCCTCAATTACCAAAAAAGTATTTTGTTCATCGGAAATAATTTGGTGTCGGCAAAGTATTAGAGTGGAGCGGGTAGAAATGGAATGAGGTCATATGGTATAGATGGACTTTACAACTGTGCTTGCCGTGCTTAAATAGAAAGGGAAGAGATAAGAAAGGAAGGTCTCCAATGGAAAATTGCAATTGACTACTCTAAGCTATCCAATCACGTATCAATCGAGGCATGGTCCAGCTTGGACCCTCCATTGCCTATGGTACACGTCAAACAATAATAATTTGAAACGCCTAACAAAAATTATTACAGATTAATACTACAAAAAATCCTAAACTATAGACATTGTGACATAAATATTTATTTTAACGTGTCCATCGTTATTTGGTGACAAGGATTATCATGTCCTGATTTGATAATCCACGTTTAACTTTTTTTGTCCAACATTCAAACTTAACGGATCAGAAGTCACATCAGCAGATTTCGTGGACTCGAACCACCGTAAGGACGGCATTGACTATATTCATAAAGTATGGGAACTAAATTGATCATTTACCAATTGTTCAGAAGAATGTATGAACCAATTAAAAGTTTAGAGACCACGTTACATACGGGATCAAAGTTGATGGATCATTTGTGCCATTTTCTTTGTTATGATCAAGTCCCAAGACCTCAAATTCCACAAGCTGTAGGTCCACACGTTTGACCCTAACAGAGATGATCTTGAAACTATTGTGCATGTGTTGCAACTCAATTTCTATGTGGGTAGGTAGGTAAATCGATTAGGAACTTACCAAGAAACTGTCTAGTGCGAAAGGGCTGTAGTGAGGACTTAGTTGAGCTTTTGACCTTTAGGAGGCAATAATGGACACAACTTCAATTTTATTGAATGATTGACTTGCCTTCCACGTAGCATAGCTTGTTTTGTGCCCCAAATTTCAACCGCGGTGTACTTAGCTTGGGGCTCAATCTCAGTTGAAATAGCTAGAGTGATCGATTTGAATTTGTATGTTTCAAGAGGTGAAATGTCTTCGAGGTTGAATGTTTCTTCTCTTAGGATTTGACAGCATTGATGTGCAAGTCGGATAAAGTCCAAGCATCGATTGTCCAAAGCGACGGCCGGCAGGAATATGAATTCGTATCGATTATGCCATTTGTAAAGAATACGTTTTTTTTTTTTTTTGGGTAAGTCTTGTAAAGATTACGTTTTGCGTCGAATAAATGATAAACTATCAAACTTTTATGACAAGGAAACTCTCTTTCGACGACGTGGAGAATGGAACACGGGTGTTATGACTGATGTCTCCATGTATGTTCGCTCCTTAACGACTAAGTCAACATAGGAAGAGGAAGATATTTTTTTTTATGAGTACATATTGTTAAAATGCATTTGTGAATTGTGTTAGAAAATCCCAAATCGAAGAATTGATTTAGTGTTAAATAATTAATATATCCAAGTTAGCCTGTAAATCATTAACTTAAGCTTTTGAGTAAATGTGGGTTCAACTGAATATGTTGATGGGCTTGGACTTGGATTCCCTTTTGGTGATCTTCTCGAGTGAAGGTATCGGGCTTCTGTTATACACTCCCAACATGTGGTATTAGAGTCGATGGTTGATTGGTGCTCCACCCTAATCTATTCTAGTGTTTGGTGTAGCAATGCGGGCTCGACGACATACTTCATGGTTCAGTCTAGAAAAAGAGATCAAGGATGAAGTTGCGTGTTAATGGAGATTCAAGATAAAATATCATGATGCAGAAGGATACTTGGATTAAGGGGGAGCAGACCTAACACTGAGATCACACGTGAGAGGAAGATTGTTATGATGCACATGTAAGTTGTGTTTGAAAGTCTAATATCGAAGAATTGATATGATGTGAAGCAGTTAACATAGCGAAGTTGGTTCATAATTCATTGGTTTAAGTTTTTAAGTGAATGTGGGTCCAACTATATTGACGGACTCGGATTTTAGCTTGGCGATTCCCGGGTGAAGGTATGGCACTTCTGTTGCGCGCTTCCAACACATATTCATAGCTTAATAATCTGAATTTTTTGAGTAACCCGGCATGCACTCAATTTATACGATCTCAAAGCTATAGTTGGGTGGCTGAGATTTGGGATTGGCCTCATGAAATAGGCTTCTTATGAACTCAAAATCTTGCTCAAACGTGGCCTCTCAAGGCCCAAAGTGTCAAAATCCACACAAGAAAGGCCCAATCACCCCAAAAAGAAGTTGAGAAAGAAAAGGATAATCTTCAGCTATATCCTCTTGCTGTCCACGACTCTCTGCATCCGCAAGCTTGTCTCTTCGGTCTCTTCAGAAATCTTGAAAGGTCAGTTCTCTCTCCTGCTTGATCAGCATTAACGTTTCCGATATAATTTTTCTACTACATTAACCCAGTGAGAATGGTGTGCATTTACAGTTAACATATCTTGCTGTTATCTCTTTCACCTCAGATGGTTCTGCTAATTAGCTTGTCTCTGAGGACGATACAAATATGCAGAGCATATGCTGCTCTATACTTGCTTTGAAAGATTCAATTTTTAACTCAATTTATAAGTAGTTTTCTTCACTGTCGTGATTAATTCATACATCTGTGGCTGATGGTGCAGACTGCAGACTGGTGGTGTAGTGAATTGGGCGAGAGAGAGAGAGAGAGAGATGGAAAACATAACAGCAAGTGAGATTGCAGGTTTTGGGGTAGGCACTCTGCTTCTGTGTGCCACAATTGCTGCTCCAAGAGTTGACTCTTTCATTTCTGCTTCCCAGAGGAGGTCTCAGCTTGTCCTTGCCCTTTCTTAGTTTCCTTGAGATGCTTTCATTTGTTGTATCGTTATGCTTCTGTTATGAATTGGTTTCACGGGTTTTGGACTAGATTGTTAGAGAGTAACTAGAAAGAGTTTCTTGTTCAAAGAGGAATTTGTCGAGCATGTAGAGTTTCTTTTTGCATAGTATGGGATTTGGGTTTTCTCATGAATTATTTTTGTCGGCTTTCTTCATGTTCTTGATGTTTGGATGATCTGACCGTAATCGGCAAAGGTTCATTCCTAAAATTATTTGTCACTCACCAGGATTAGAGATGTTTGAAACGCTGAGTTTTCGTTCTAATGAAGACATCTCTCTCTCTCTCTCTCTCTCTCTCTCTCTCTCTCTCTCTCTCTCTCTCTGTTATGGGTTGAACTTTAGTCAGTTCAGCTGCAATCTGCTGATTAGGTGTAGAGAAATCCCTTGCAAACACTCACCTATAAAGACTGAAGTTTGGACCAGAAATGATGGAATTACAATGGCACGTCAATTCTGTTTCTAGAGCACAATCCCTTTTCTTACGCAAGGATGCTTCATCTAAGCATTCTGATAAAAACCTGCCTATGTCTTTTTGTGTGCAGCTCGCTCGGTATGTGCAGGAAATGCGGCGATCTGAAGATAATAGCTTGCTCAACATGTCGTGGAGTTGGTTCGGTCAAGGAAGGCGGGCTTATCAGATTCAGTTTCGTGGACGATTTATATCAATTGCTTGGTGGCGACGAACCGGGTGTGAAAACCACACCATGCACGAAGTGTCGAGCTAAAGGTCATTTTCGTTGCCCGAATTGCTCAAAATCACGGTAATTGAAGTCCGGCTTTTCCTTCACCTTTAAGAGGACAAAATTGTTTAGGGGCCGCGCAAATTGATCGTTTGGCTCGCACACCTCCCCTTATTTGTAACATAGACCGGTATTTGTTTGGATTTGTCATAGCATAAAGACCCAAAAGATGGATCCTCCTGTAGGGGCTGGACAGTTTCTCTGCCTTGTACTAATAGAGATGAACACTTGCAGAAACAATTGTTAATGGAAGACAGAATCAAATTCACGGACTTGTTGCATATTGTGAATAGAACACAGCTCGACTAAGTTTCAAAGTCGCTAAAGTCCAAATAGAAAAGGATTGGAATTCAGTTCATCTGGAGGGCACTTCCTGCAGCTGCTTCACCTTGGTGATATAATCAGCCATTGCTTCTTCCTTGCTCTTCCCTGAAATATAACCCATGAAAGACGAAACCGGGCGATTACTTTTCAGGTTAAAAGAAACTCCACAAACTTGTAAGCTTCAGATGAATGGCTTGGTTTGATTGTAGCTCAGACCTTCAACTGCTTTCCAAGCATCCCATTTCGCCCTCTCCGTGGGGCTGAAGAACCCGGGTCGACCTAGCATTACAAAGAGAGGTTGATCGGTGCACCGACTGTGAATAACTTCAGAGAAAACATCGGTCTCAAAATTTCTCTTTTTTTACCGGTATTGACAGCTCCTATGGTGGATTGCTTGTACAGCCCATAGAGCACCAGCTTGTCCGCATCTTTTGTACTCGCAGGCAACGACTTGGCCTTTTCTGCATGTTCCTTGAACTCATCCTGCCACGAAACATGAAATCAGGAGAAGGGAAAAGTGCAAAAAAACAAGAACGCAATGCAAGAACACAAGCATAGAAGATAAGGGCAATGCGAGAACCTCCAAAGCCATCTTTTCAGCAGGCTGGGCCTACGAAGCAGGCTTGTAAGTGGCGAAAGATGCAATGGATCTCTCTCCTCTTGTTTAAAAAGCGAGCTCGCATTGGCCTCTCATGGCGATGTGAACAAGAGAGATCTTTCTTGTGTAGTACGTCCGATAGTTGAGCCAACTTCGGCCTACTTTGTAGCTTTTCTACCTTCTTTTGCCCCCCTTTTTTTTTCTCTTTTGGTGGAATGTTCTTCCTCTTGTTTCAAACGTGCGACGGAGGGTTTGCTTGGCGAGGAGAATATGCCGTGATCGGTTACCTTAAATTCATCCAACACCATTTTAGACGTACCTTTTATTTGATCTGTCAAGAAATGGACCACAACGTGTGCCGGGACTCGACCCGAAGCTCACGGAGGCTCGGGCCTCAAAAGGAGTACTAGCGCAACGACCTTCAAGGGTGGATGTCCTTCGGATCCCCTTGGCATTCTCTCCTTCCCACGAGACTTGGATCTCACGAGCCCACGACTCGGTGTTCTCGCTCGTTATCAAGCGGGCACGTCGCGCCGCGACTCGAGCAATCCGACCGGCCATCCATCCCGCCATGATAGTTGCCATCGGCCGCAAACCAAATGGCTCGTACAGATCTTGGCACGCCCAAGTCCCGATGGGTGTCGAAAAATTGGATCGGTTGCATTCGAAGAGATAGGAAACCGAAACCGTGCTATTACGTGCCTAATCTTTACTCATTTATGCATATGCACGCGAGCGCGCAGGGTTTAAGCATCAAACCAACCGGTGTAGATAACATCAAATGTGACATCTCTTGATTAATTCACTCGAAGTGTTGTCCGTTTTGGCCCGTCACATGCCGAGCCTCACTGTTTTATCCTTTGGCACATAGGTAAGCACCTTCTCAAGAGGTCATCCACCCCAAGAGCATTGTCGTTACGTCAAAAGGTGCCTCTTTAAGTTAATTTAAATTTTCACATATACATTCCAGAATCGATCTCTCATGTTCGGTGTACAGTTCGGTTCGTTCTTGCTCCTTTTGCCGTCATAGAAGTCTATCGGGTGTTCGGTGTACAGTTCGGTTCGTTCTTGCTCCTTTTGCCGTCATATAAGTCTATCGGGAGCCGCTCCTTATTCAAACCCTCTAGCCCCATAAATTATTTTCCATCCTCGTCGGACTGGGTGGTTATATGAAAATATGTTTTCGGCATATGACGATTCCAAATTCGATCTCGGGATCGACAGTGCAACCATAGTGCATCATGAGCTGATCCTAGATCTGGAAACAGAGCGGCGAGGCAGATGTAATCATAACGACATTGAACTAATCAAACTCCTCCCCAAACACCCCTCCCCAATTTGTCAAATTTGGAATACTAGTTGGATAACACCTTTTCCCACTGACTCTCTTTGATTAAGGGCAAGATCTCGGGCTGTCCCATTGGCCCTAAGCATCGTCCGGTGTCAATAACGACGACTTAATTGCTCCTTAATTATTGCGAGAGAACTAGATTAAGCTTAATGACTCGTCCTTATCAGTCCCGTGGATTTCCAACGTTAATCAAAAGCCCAAAAAAAGAGAGAGGAGGAAATGGCAAAACCAGGTGGCCATCAATCGCCGTCCACCTACTTTCCACGAGTCGCGAGATTTGTCTGGACGTGTTCGATGTCCACGAGGAATACGTTACCTTAGTGCACTCGAATGTCCCACATCGACGTGACCCCTCATGACTACTTCGCCAATAAAAATTAACGCTACAAATATCTGCGCTCTTAATTACCTCGAAGAGCAGAATAACGAGAAAATTATTCAAAAAGCTTTAAATTTATTGCATTTTAAGTAATTCAAGCTTCAACTTTTCGATTTTACTAATTTAGCCCTAAATTTTTTTACGTTTTTCCAATTTAAAAATTGCCCACATCAACGCCGGCCGTCTGATCGCGCCATGTAGGACGGTCGACTTCCACGTTAGCGAATTCCGAATGGGCTCAATTGACAAAACGTGAAAAGGTTTAGGACTCATGTGTTGAAATATTTTACATCGTTTTATATATATGTGATCTCTTTCCGCTTATCAGTTTAAGTTTTTTTGTGGGTAGGACTTGACTTTCTATTATGTAATCAGATGTGGATTCTGCCCGGTTTATTTGGCACGTGTTGCACCACCCCGTTCATCAGATTTCACGCATCATTCCTAATCAGTCTCTCACTTTGGTACTGTGCACAATGTCGTCCCTAAACTTTTATTTGACGACGTGGACCATATTATATGTCTAAGCTATATTCTTATTAAAAATGATGAGTCGATATGTCCATTTTTATCCATCTACTTGAGAAATGTCTATCATTACTATTTGATGACATGGATTATTATATCACGATATTAGACATTTTCATATAGTCTAAGGTTGCGTTTGTTTTGCGGAAAATGTACAATTTCTAGAAAATACTTTCCAGGAAATCATTTTCTAGGAAAATGAGTTCATTTTTCGGTGTTTGGCTAAAACCTAAAAAAGATTTGGAAAGTTTTTCAGTTATTTGATGAGAAAAATCTGATGGTGAAAATTATCAAAAAATTTTGTATTTTTTTAAATTATTTTTATTAAGAAAAGAAAATGCATGAATGTTTTCCTTCTTAGAAAGAAAAGAAAAAGAAAAGAAAAGAAAATATATCAACAAATTCAAGATGAGCAATTCCCGAAAGTATTTTCACCTTCTTAGATTAGGGAATTCACTTTCTTAAAATTAAACATGATATTTGTGTCGATCGGAAAGTTTTTTCCGTTGACCAAATCATTTTCAGAGACACCAAATGGATGAAAGTCCGGAAAATACTTTCACCAAAACAAATACACTTTAAGGACTAAATCAAACATTCACTAATAGTTCGAAGGCCATACTGAACATATTAAAAATTTAAGAACGATATTACACGATAAATCAAAGTTCCTGCACCCGTAGTTTTCTATGGCAATGTTTTGTACCATAGAAATCGAACACTTGGGTGGATCCGATCGACGAAAAACGATGGGACAAGAGGCGAATCTCTTTGACTTTTCAAACCCTCTTTTCTCCTCTTACGAACGGATGAATGTCTAGAATAATTTCGCCGTCTACGGTATCTCCGAAAATCATGGGACTCGCCATACCGCGCGTGACATGCACGTGCGTGTACGTTGGCCGAGCTACCTGGAGGGTTTGAACTTCGAAGCGGTTCTAGAAAGCCAAATGGCTGCGTTTGATTGGATACTATTCCGGTGTTTCTGATAAATTTCTTAGTTAATTGCGTCATAAAATTATAAGTCCACACTGCCATATAAAGCAAAAAAAAAAAAAAAACTCTTAGGGCGCGAATAATAACTATATTATTTCTTTATTTTTCTATTTCCTGTTCTCAGGAATATATTTGGAACAGAAATCCGTTTGGCAATACAACTTCATTTCTTTTTATTTCCGAGATAAATTTTTTAGCCTGAAAATAACTTTAGAATAGAAATGAGAAGTAGATATTTTTTTTACTATTCTATTTCTGGAACGGAAACAGAGATAACAACTCTTCTTATCACTCGTCCCCGCATTTTCCGCGGCCACCGACCACCGCCTGCCGGGAACAGAAATTTAAGAATAACTTATTAAACGAATTTTTATTCCGGGAACAGAAATTTTGTGTCATTATCAAACGCTATTTCCTGCTATGAAACTCGTCCAGGAAATAGAAATAGAAAACCCTATTTCTTGTCAAAAATTGGGTTGAGGAAAAAAATAGTTTTCATTCGCACCCTTAATTTCATGGGATTTCAATATATTACGTGCTCCATACATGGTCCCCATTATTATTTGACAGATGGTAATATCCATGGAAAAATGTATAGTTTTTCACTATCTCTTGCCTACTTTAATTTTAAAATCTTAAATCTAGTCCATCGTACAAATAGCTCAAATCTTGAAATAATTTTCTATTTCAATGTATATACGTGTAAAATATTTTTTTTTTGTGTGCTTTGTACTTTCATCGATTTCTTTGCAAAGCGTGTTTCCGTCGTTATCTTTTGGTCGCGTATTCTTAATAGGGCAGTTTTGCTTGATCCTTCAAATGTCGCTTTCTAATGTGCGCGCAATGCGTGCGCATATTTGCTAGGTTAACATGTTGAAACCCATAATGCAACATCTAATTGAAGATATGCGCTAATTGTGTGGCAAACCATCAATTCGAAACTCGAGCATATCTTAGTCAGATCTGCCAATTTTTCTTATACCAAAAAGAACATGAAAAGTGTCTAAATATCCCATATCACCTGGCTATGGGATTTATCTGCTCTTTTATATACACGTAATTTCCCCTCATTTATCTGTTTAAACTTTTGTGCCGTGCTTTCTACCTTGGTATCGGACCCAAATCCTACCCTAGTTTATTTCGCGTGTGCGTTCACCCGGTTCATCAAATTCCACATCATTTTTAATCTATATGCTCTTATATGCACGTGATCGGACTTTCTAACCATGAACGAAAATATTACCCAGCACCGCATTTTTCGGCGACTCTTCTTCTATTAACAACGAAAGAAAAGGTTTTTTTATATATTTTTTATTTTTGGCTAGCGTAGAATCTAGACCAGACCCTCCATTTCGTCTTCTTCCTTGAGGAAAATCCAAGTCAGTTTTCTCGTATACATTGTCTCCGACCCTCGTGGTAAGGCCGCTTTGCTATGAGAGGAACATCGTCGTCGCAACGAGGGAGGTCACTCCACGAACCGACAAGGAAACTCATGAAAATGTCCCGAAAATTTTAGTACTATAAAGTCGGGCTCAAAGAGAAAACTCATGCAATTACTTACGTTTGTGAAGTATGGGCGCTCAAGGTCATTGCAGTTAAGGATGATCGATTTCAAGATAGGTCGGTTTTCACGCTGAAACCTGAAATCATATTAGGTAGGATTTATTCTTGATTCGTGAAATCGGGAACCGGCCCAGTTGGTCCAATTAAGGATAATCGATTTTAGAATGGGTAGGTTCCGACCCTGGAACCTGAAACCAACCAACAAGGTTGGTTCCAAGATGGTGAAATCGGGAACCGGCCCACTTGGCCGAATTAGGGATCATCGATTTCAAAATGGATAGGTTTTGACCCAATCGGGAACCTGCCCACTTGGCCCAATTAGGGATAATGGATTTCGGAATGGGTCGGTTCCAACCCTGGAACCTGAAACCAGACCAGTAGTATTGGTTCTAAGTTTGTGAAATCGAGAACAGACCCACTTAGCTCAATTAGGGATAATCGATTTCAGAATGGATCGGTTCTGACCCTAGAATCTAAAACTAGACCAGCAAGGTTAGTTCCAAATTTGTGAAGTCGGGAACCGGCCCACTTGGCTCAATTAGGGATAATCGATTTCGGGATAGGCTGGTTCTGACTCTAGAACCTGAAACCATACTAGGATGGTTGGTTCCAAGTTTGTGAAATCAGAAACCGGCCCACTAGGTCCTGCGGTGGGTACAAGAACCGACATATAATATTTTAAGGCTGCAAGCGTATCTTGCTCTATGCAAGTTGTCATCCTCGGAGTAGTTATCATGTCTATGCAATCATCATGTTTCACACTTGTTTGGAAGTAAATTTCGGCAAAACGATTGTTAAAACATACCATATGATGGAAGTAAGCCTTAAAAAGGGAATTAGTTGCGCAAGCATAGCAGGGTCTCGAGTTCATTTCCTATAAAACTCATGGATATCCGAATGAACATTGGTTTTGTCTGGGTGCTCAATAAACACATTTATCCCCAATCATCTTTGGGGAATTGTTAAAAAGTAAAAAATATATCTGTCAAGTTCGGTCCGGGCAATTCAGTTTGCACCATAGAACCGGGAATATGACCGATTATCATTTGTTTCAAATTTTAGGAATCGGGGTTATTGGGTTGGACTGTAGCAGCGCTAATCCCTAATTGCAATCATCAAACTTATGCATGGTACAAACCATGGTAAACATGTTTGTTTGTTTTTTTTTCTTAATTTAAATTCTGCGAATTGTCGCGTTTTGATTTTATTTTATCAAATTTGGAACTCCAAATTTGGTAAATTTTTTTTTAAAATTCGACACACTGAAAATATGTTGCGCATTGAAGACGAGGGACTAAAATAGTAAGCACGTGTCGTGTATTTATTGGTGCAAGATTGTATTTGAAAAGACACATTTTTTAATGGTGATTATTTATTCGACCAAAAAAAAAATGGTGTTTATTTTTTTTATTTGTATATTAAAGTCCAGCCTCCGTTCGGCCAAAACGAAGATCCGCTAGCTGGTGGACAGCTCACCATGCCATTGCGTCATAATTCTTTTTTCCCTTTTTTTTTTGGTGTTCTTCAAAAAAAGAAAAAAATCCAAGATTATTTTTTGTCCTTGTTTTTCTTTCTCCCCCGTTCCTATATATTAATTCGAAGCTAATCAAGCTCAATGTCCGTTTGTTTAAAAGAAAATTATTTTCCGGCTTTCCGTGTTTGGATGACGGAAAACTAATTAATTGACAAAAAAACTAATTCCATAAACTCAAAACAACAAGCTTAGATTGAGATAAAACAACTTTCCATTCTGATAAGAAGGAAAGCACATTTCCTAAACCACCATACAAATTAAATTAACATTTTTCCGTCCATGGAAAATACTTTCCTTTATCGCGAACTTTTCGGTGAAACAAACTTATTATTATACTAGTCATACTAACGCACATTGAATCGGCGCACCTCAAGTCCTCATTGTCTAATTGGCTTTCGAGTGAGAGGAAGTGTTAGAGATGCGTAGTAAATCATGCACCGTCCCTCGACAACTTTAAGATTTTGGAGGAGATAAAATGATTATGCACTCAATTGAATAGGATTGGCATGAAATAAATAGAGTTCAAATCTGTTCGTAACGTTTTAACCGTTGGTCAATTGAATTCTTAACATTTTACTCTAGTCAAAACTCTTTACGTTTTAAAACACACGCAATCAGTCATGCCCTTAGTTTGCCGTTAATAGATTTCCGAGACATAAAAAAATTCTCGTGAATCTCTCTACTATGGGCATATTGCCTTAAAAAAGGGTTAGGTCGGAAACGTGTAGGGTTTCCAACGTCGATAATGAGTCTAAGATTTGACCGTAAGGGCCTAATTAACCAAACCAAAATTCAGTCGACAAACCATCAAAATGTTGAAATCGATTGTAAATTTATGCATTTGGATCTAAGGTGAGCAAAATGAACAAGAGTGAGCAAAATGAACTGCCTAGACCGGATAGGCTAGTTCTGGATGATTCCCGGAGGCACCGGTCTGGCTCCCGGTTCAATAAAATTGGGTTGGGACCAGTGAATTTCGGTTCGGTTCGCAGTTCCACACCAGTCCCAGGTGCGAAACTGCCCACCCGGATCGGACAGATTTACTCATGCACGTAAGTAAGATGACGAGAACAAATCAAAAAACAACAAATAGTGGTTCATTCCAACCGAATTTTTCCACAAATTGAGAAAATCTCCGTGAAGCCTATAATGTTACACGAAACTCACCGATTGTAGAAACGTCTTGATTATCAAGAATATATTCTAACGACAAATAAAAAAAAAATTTGACTATTCTATCGGCTCCATCGGCCTATCCGGAAGCAAGACCAATTGGTCCGATTCCCCCGATTCTTGGGTTGGAATCGGACCGCCCGGCAACCGATCACACTCTCCTATTTGGATCTCTCGCAAAACCTTGGATCAATTTCTGGGGTAATCACCGGGCAGGAAGCCACGTGGCACCGCGGGTCTAAAGAGGGAGAAGGAGAGAAAAAGGAAAAACAATTATTATAGCTGGATATTATACAGACTTAGATAGATAGAGCTATAAGATTGAGACACCGAGAGGGGGACCAAGCGTGACTCTCAAAATCTACTCATTCTCTCTCTCTCTTTCTCTCTCTCTCTAGAAAATCAGCTCTGAATTCATAGGAGAAAAAGAAAGGGCGCCCTCGTCCTCTCCTCTTCTCCCTCACCTCCTCCTGCTTCGTCTTCGAAGGGATTGTCGCGACTGCTTCGAACTCTCCCCCCCCCCTTCTTTTCGCGAATTCTCACGATGTTCCGGGTTTCCGAGGTACGTGGTTCGATTTGTTCCGTCGTTTTCTGTACCCCTGCCTGAAAGTGAAGATTCCGTGTCATGGGACAAGAAGAACGCCCGTCTTTTCTTTGGTGATTCTTGGTCTCGTAAACGGTGGGGAGAAAAGTGGAGTGTCTGTACTATCTAGATCGTTGAATTCTCTCGGCACCACCGAGTGTCTGATTTTTCCTCAGCTTCTTCTCTTCTTCTGTTTTTTTTTCATCTGGGGGGGGCTTTTCGCAGTTTCGAAAATTGTCCGGTTTTGTGATGAATCGCGAATCTTTGCATGCGAACATGTGAATCTCCTCCTCTGCGTGCCTACGGGTTTTTTCGAAATCAGATTTTGGTCAATACCCAGATTTGTTTTCGAGCTGTTGCTTCGGTTGTCTCGGCATTTCCGGAGCTTTACATGCTCCGCCAAATCGAAAGCTCTGATATTTTCATCCTGTCCACTGACACTACTGTTCCCCCTCGTTGATTCTCTTCGGAGTTTTGTTGAATTTGCTGTCCTACGGTGGTTTGAATTTCCTGCTGTTGCTGTCTGCGCCTATCAAGGATCAAAACAATGTGTACAAATGCTGTTTCCAACAGTGGTACCCGCTTCGTGTTATGGCCCCTGATCTTTTGCCCTGCATCATTTTGACCTTTTCTTTTCCATGAGATTCTTCTTTTGGGACACTGAGCTTTTAGGTGGGCATTTTTCTCAGTACAATGAAAAGGGGTTCCTTTTTATAGAAACGGGATCTGCTTTTTTCCACATCTTGTGAACATCGATAGCAGCAATAATAGACTCATAATATTAATATCGATAATCATCATCATCATCATCGAAATTTTTTTTTTGTAATCCGATCCCTCTCTCTCCGTGAGAAAACAAAGTACCCTTTGAGGTCATGATTTCACCCATCAGACCCTGTCTTTTATGCCGAATGCCTTAAACAAATCCCAACATTGCGTTTCCTTCCTTTTTAAACTCTCCTTTTGGGGTTCTGTTTGGGGTAGGCATCCACTGTTTAAAGAATGAATATTTGGATTATGGGTGCTTGTTATATTAATGTAATATCACATCTCCAACAGCTTAAAATTTTTTAAGCCCGAAAAGAATAATAAACTATACCATTTGATCTACTTGTTCCGTAGTGGGGCTGACGTGAAATGTCAAAGCACACAAAACACAAAGAGAGAGAGAGAGAGAGAGAGTGTGTGTGTAGTACTGCTGCTGCTGCTGGAAATTCACGCCTCATCTTTTCTTGTTATGGGCCTATCAATAAGAACAGTATTTCACTTGCTGTCCTTTATTCTCCTTCTTCCTCTTGAACAGGGCAGATTCAGATTCTGAACAAAGATAGGATTTTTCCATCTCTCTCGGGGCGGTCAAAAGGGACTCGACGAAGTGTAAATGGAGGGCGATGCGTTCTCGGGGTTCGGCAGTGGGGCTCACCACCACCAGATAGACACCAAGATATTGCAGACCTTCCAAAAGAGCTTCGTGCAGGTGCAGAACATACTGGACCAGAACCGGCTCCTGATCAACGAGATAAACCAGAACCAAGAGTCCAGAGTCCCCGATAGCCTGAGCCGGAACGTGGGGCTGATCCGCGAGCTCAACAACAACATCCGGACGGTGGTCAATCTCTACGCCGATCTGTCGAGCAACTTCACCAAGTCCATGGAAGCTTCTTCCGAGGGCGACTCGAGCGGCGGCGCCCTGAGATCAGACGCCAAGGCCGGGCTCAAGAGAAATAGGCCTGCATAGTAACGATTCCGGGATCAAGAAAGCAAAACAAATTGTACCCTTTTGCTTGTTCTCTCTGTAGCTTTGATGGGATGAAGTGAGATGAAGAAAGAAGAAGAAGAAAGTGGGGGTTCTTGGTGGGTGGTGGTAGAATCTGATTTTTAAGTGCTTCGTCCATCATGACTCAGGGAAGTCACTGAAGTGTGGCTCTGAACTGCGTCTCTTGTGGTTCTTTCTTCACCCCCTGGTTCATCCGTACTTCTTCACTAGGAGGAGAATAATTGTTCCAAAGAGTGAAAATTCCCCTCTCTGTGTCTGTAACTCCATTGTAACTGTGGATCTAATTGGGAATCAATCACGCTTTGTTCGGTCTGGTGTATGTGTGTGTCCGTACTTTGTCATTTAGCATGTGTTTCCAGTTCTCTTGACAAAGAAAGTTCTCAGTTTTCTGTGTTCCGCAGCAAATTGAATGACACTTGACAGTGTGAAAAGGTCATAAAGAACCATAAAAGCAGATTAAAGCTCCACTAATTTCGCGAAAAACAAATAATTTAAATTTTTTTAAAATTTTTTTTATCATTTATATCATTTGAAATAATTTTTATAATATTTTTTTATAAAATTTATTTTCATTATTTAAACAGTTTCGTGATCAATGAAAATATTGATCAATGAAAATATTTTTCGTTCGTTTATTTTTGTAAGAATTATAAACGATTATTTTAAAAAATATATTTTTCAAATCATTCATTTCCGTTAAACAAACAGAACTCTAGGGTGTTCTTCAAAGATAAAGGAAATTTTTTTTTTTGGAAAATCATTTGGAAAACATTTTTCATTTTCAGGTAAAGGATTTCATTTTCCTTATTTTAAATATGCATATTTTCTTTGACTATAAATGAATGTTCATTGACTGATTATTTTTAATATACCAAAAGCACAAAAGTTCGGAAAACTAAATCGCGAATTCTTTCACTCAATCAAAACACACCTCAAGGATATAATTGGGAATTAAAATATGATTTTCATGGTCAGAAAATTTCGTCCTCGTAACCTTAATTTCTTATAACGTAGATTCTTATTTTTCTTTTTCCCTACTTTAGAGTCTCGCCGGTCCATGAGATGATGATGAGTCGATGATCGATTCTAAAGAGCGAGGGCTTGATGTTTGCCGGATGATCGGTCCCTTTATAAGTTCTTCTGAACTCCCCATGAGATCATAGATGGTCTGTCTTCCGCCCCTTTTTGGTTGCTTATAAAACAGCTATTCTCGCTGTTCTCATGATCCTTTCAACCTTTTGTGCTCCTTTGTGGAGAACTGAGCACGATTATGGGAATTCAAACAAAAATTCTGAGCGAAGTGTTTCTGAGATGCTCTGAAACAGGTTGAGTGAGAAAGCAGCTTTTTGATGATCTTTTTGGCTCCCATCACACTCCACCACCACAAGATCAGAATCTCAGATAAGAGATGATGAGCTCTTTTGACCCCCTTTGTTTTTTATATATATATTTCTTTTGTTCCTACGGCTCACCCAAGACAATCTATTGGATGGTGATGACAGGAGAGAGAGAAATTCATAAAGAATTCACTAGGAAGTATCGAAAGAGAGGAGAAAAAAATATGAATAAATAATTGGTGATTAGAAAAACTGAAAGCACTACAGTCCCAGGAACTGGACAGATAGATGGATGGGGTATGAACCGTGACCTGACCCCGAATGACATGACAAGGGACCCAACAGTTCACATTCTTTTTTGGGATGGAACTAGGGTTCCAACACATGCTTATCTCTTCCCTATCACCAAGGTTTTGTTCTCCCCCTTTTGAGCATGCTTTCTTCTCTCTCTCTTTCCCCTCCTGTTTTCTTTGATTGTATTTCATGCAAAATCGCAATGGACCTTCTTTCATTTACTCCGATGTCGGTGTCGGGTTTGTGGAGCAAAAAGTCGTGTTAATTTTTCATTGCGTTTCCGATCGATGCAAAGACAGATAGCCCCAAGACTCGTCCTATTCCAACTTTTCTCCACCATTTCGTGTCTTCTTCTTGTGGCATCGAGCAGGTGTTCCTGATGGTGGACCCATAAATGCAGAGCAACCCAGTTTTCTGATCTTAGGAGGAAGAGAAAGAAAGACCCACCACATGAGTGATTCCTGGAAGTGTCTTTTGTCCTGCACTAGATTTTTTTTATTCTCTATAAGAGAAAAGAACATTGGTGGGGGGAGATTGCTGTCACTCCATGTACAGTAATGTCCATATGCACGCATTCAAAAATCTATTTATTTATTTGCTTTTTAATGCACTCATTTGAACTGGATCTACTCCATGTGCTTCATTTTCACCGTGAAGTGTGATGTCATAGTCTCTGACCTCAGGGCATGTCTCGGGGGTGTCCTGCTGTGAGATCTTGATTGGCGCAGGTCTTCTTCTGGGGTGCGTGATCCATCAATTTCAAATTTAGCAGTTGCAATTATAATAGAGAGTACAGAGTAGAGAGTAGTAGTACCATAGCAGATATAGTCATTGAAGGCAGCACTAAGTTAGCTGCTCTTCACTTGAATAGGGAGATGTCGATGTTGTTTTTTCTTCTTTCTGGGTCATCAATGACACCAGCAACCAAAAAATTGGAAGTGTCAAATTAATATTGTGTTTCTGATGCATGTGGGAGCATATTTTCTTGAGGGTCATTTGCTCTAGAGCTACCACACGCATGCCTTAAGTTGGATTCATATATATGATGTGATAAATTTATATTCATGTACATGATGGGCTAAACTTCACTGTTGGTCACTGAATTTTAGTGTGTTTTATAATAAAATCACTAAACTTAACTTTCAATCGTTCTATGCACCTAATTATTTTTATTTTTATTTTGTAACCGATACATTTTTCCTAAACCCAATAATTTTTCTATTAATGGGATGACTTATACTCATGTGAATCTGCCTATGGTGTCTAAACAATTGATAATGTCTACCATATCGTCATTCAACCGATTAAATGAAGGCTAATCGACAAAATAAATCGCGACCTTTTCGGGGCAAATGGATAATTAAAATATGGTTTTGGTAGGAAGTATAGTGTCGAGAAAGATTTTATATAAAGTCCAAAGGCGATGATTTATTCTGATAACCTAAAAAGATAAGGATAAAATTAGAAAGAACGGAAATTGATTGTTGTTGCTATTTATCCTAAATTAAAAGGATTTCGACCGCTTCGTCTATTTATATATATATATATATATAAAGCAAGGTAACTAGAGAGAAGCCAATCGAAATTATGCCAACTATGGAAAGGAAAGAATGCCACATCATAGTTTTTTGAGTTGTATTTAATATGTTTTCCTCAACATTCAATAATTATCCAAACTAATAAATCTACATCAGTGGACCTCTTTAATGCCATTAATACTTTATTTCTATGAGAAGTTCCTTGCTTCGAGGAATTTTTTGCTCTTGAGGTTAACAAGACTGATTTTGTTTAAATGATTTAAGAGAAATAGGGTTGATACCACAAAAAACCTTAAACTGGTACACTTGCGACAAAGTTACTCCAAGCTAATTTTCTGATCACAAAAAAGGCTAAACCGGTACACTTGTGATAAATTTGCAGTATAAATTGTTGTTGCCAATGAAAACATTTTTCATCGACTAATCATTTCAAGTGATACAAATGATAATTTTAGAAAAAATATTTTCAAAACCATATATTTTCCGTGAAACAAACGGAGCCTTATCCGTAAAGATTCCTTTTTTTTTTTTTAAATTCTTTTAAGGAAATGAACAGGAGCATAGCAGAAGAAGGACGAGATAGATGGGGTTGGCCCCATGCCAAGCCAAGACAAAACCAAGCATGTTGCAAGCACCACCACATGTGAAGTGGGAATCTAACTTTATTAATCTATTCATTTCTATCTATTCTATTTAATTTGATCTCGAAACTTTAGTCTTCCATTCACTTTTGTTCCTGGAATTAGGAGCAAAAATTGGTTGGAAAGGGACCTACCCCCCCATGTCTTGGCCTCTTGCAACTTTAGCCAACAGATTATTAAAAAAAATTAAAAAATTAATTCTGGGTCTTATGGGCATCTCCACCATCATTAGTTGGCCCAGCTAATTTAAGCAGGCGTCTCATTAATTTATGCCTCTGCCCACGGTTTATCTCCCCTTAATCACTTTCTTAATGACCCTAATTTTGACAGCAATTTGCTATTGGGTTCAGCAAAGATCCACTAGCTCTTCTTGTGTTGTTAGGCCTTTTGCCCGATTGACTGTTGACTTTCTCTCTCGGGGTTAGGTGAACCACGGGGTGTTTGATGCATGAGCATAACCAACCTCATTATCCAATTCTCTTCTCTCTTTCGTTTTTTTTGTTGGATATTGTGATGCCTATGGATAGAAATGCAGCAGTGAAGACGAAACAAAGTACATGCGAACAATTAGGCGGGTTGTTGTCGTTAGTTTACAAGTGTGCGGCTATATTTTATGGCGAAAAATTGTTTTAAAAAGTCCAACTTATTGTACGGTCGGGAATCCCGTTGGCCAGGAAGGAAAAGAAAAAGAATAGAGGAAAATAAGAACAAACACATAAAACTTAAAATAAATTGCAATAATCGTTCGCTTCAGCATCGGCCTAGCCATATAAGATGGCCGGCGCTGATTGGACTGTCACGTCAGCGATTTTTGGCCAAAATTGATCGGAGAGACTATATCGATAAATCGTCAGAGTTTTTAAAACTAAATTGAGAAAATTGAAAATTTAAAATCGAATTGGTCGCTGTGGAATGGGTTGGGGATTTTTTGGATAATCAACCCATTTCTTATGTCGTGTTCGTGATATTATTGGAATGATAATCACAAGTGCGAAGAGAGTGACGAGTACCGTCAAGCATTCCACGTGGAGAAATAATGTGTGAGAGATTGAAATTATTGCGTAGATTCATTTCGATGAATGGAGTTGAGGCGTCAAGCCCTACAAAGTATACATAATCTTCCTTTTTTCGAAGCATCGATATCAATCCTCTTGCCCCGTTGCATTCATAAAATAGGTATCTCTATCGAAATCAAAGCAAGCCGCGAATGTCGTAGCCGTTCCGGATGAAATGTACTTTGTCCTAAGGAGATCAACTTGGCAAAGCCTCAACCGATTTCAACACGACATTTTGAGGTACACGTTGTTTAATATATCTAACCTATTCACGTCCAATTTTTTTTTATGAGTACCTAAAAGAGATGTTTGATCCTGTCTAGATATGGACGGAGGAGGCGTACTTCGGATCGGTTTTTACGACTCGCCTTGTCGAAGCGGGCAAAAGATGCTTTGATGATTAAAGAGCAGATGCGTGTGGATAGGATAGGTACGCACGCACATGATTAAGGAG